TAGGCTGTGCCAAAGGTAATAAAGGTCATGCTGATCTCCAGTCAACTCGTATTGCTAGAGATGAGAAAGATGTTGCCACAATGGTAGAACTCATCAAGAACTGGACAAATCCATTTGCTGGGCATATGCAGCTGTCAAGTATCTCTATTGGGGCTATGGCCTCAGCAGACATTGCACATAACCTTAAATATGCATATCTTGTTGGTGATGCAGCCTATCATGAGTTCAAGAAGAACCATCTGGAATCAGAGCCAGCAAAAATCAAGTTGCATGACACGTTAAAGAAACAAAAGCTGAAAACCTTCAGCCATTTGTCAAAGACAAAGACAGTAATCAAGACAAAGGCACAGAGACTGTTCTCCGTTCAGATCGAAATATGTTCGCAAGAATTATTATAATAGCTGAAAGTCAGGATTCACAGATGCAAGATGTTTTGAAGCATCCGCTAGATCCTCTGGCTTGTCGCAGTGCTTTTCCCTGCAAAACCAACAAAGCACAACTTGGAAAAGTTGGTTCAGCCAACAGTTGAAGTCCTGAGACCTACTGTATTGATGGCATGACACTGGTCCAGAAGCTGAAGGTTGACTAACTTTCATTTGATGAGATCGCAGACATGATCTTATCTAGAGTTTTGCATGAAAGAGAAAGTAGTTCTAGAATAGATGTTGTGTTTGATGTGCACAGAGAATAGTCCATTCAGTCAATTGAGAGTTAGAGATGAGAGAGATGCCATCACCTTCAATAACCTTGCAGCTGGCCAGAATGTGAAGCAGTTCTGAAACTTTTTGCGCAATGGCGAAAACAAGAACAGTCTTGTAAGATTTGTTGTTGAGCACTGGAGGAAAGCATGCAATCGTGAAAAACTGCGGGATAAGGAGCTGTATGCAACATGTGGGAAAAGTTGTTACAAGCCGACAAAAGAGAGAGTCATAGAAATTGAAGAACTAAACTCAGAACATGAAGAGGCTGACACTCGACTCTTTCTGCTGAGCATGCTGCAAAAGAGCAATGGTTCAGTGCTATCATCATTTCCAAAGAAGACACTGATGTAAGAGTCCTTTGTCTTGCATTTTCGTTTTTCATCAACATACCTACTTATAAGCC